AAAACAACAGAAATTTGTTGTCTCACAATTCTGGCCAGCAGGGCCACGTTCCCTCTGAAACCTCTATGGAGGGCCCTTCTTGGTCTCTTCCAGCTCTTGGAGGCCCAAGCATTTCTTGGTTTGTGGCAGCATCACTCCAATTTGCCCATCTTTTCTCTGTGTCTAAAAAATTATATAGTGGATGCTTGCAACAGTGGAATGAAGTCAAAGAACATGTATGCATAACTCATAGACACAGTCAACAGTGTGGTGATGGCCGGAGGGATGGGGGTGAGGCTGGGTGGAGGTGGGCAAGGGAGTGAGGTGCGGACAGCTGTAATAGTGTAACAATAAAAAATAAGTAACATTTTTTGAACCTGAAATTGCATCAAAATTAAAAAGTTATCAAAAAGTATTAGCATATGAAAAGTGGTATTTGCTTATTAAAATGCCATTAGGTACCTCTCATGAAAATTTAATTATTAGTGTGTTAGAGATTTATTACTAAATGAAACAATTGATAAGTATATTCACTGACACTAAATTGTTACATAAAGTAAAATAATATTTATTTGTTCTTATGTCACCTGACAGGCAGTAAATAAGATTCATATTTGGGAGGAATGAGATATTTGAATTCCATTTTCAGTACTTTAGGACAAAGTAGGACGAATTGGAAGTCAGGCGGCCTCCCAGTTTGAATAATTAAAGAGGAAATGTGATTAGGGCTCCCAGTAGGAACTAACTAGTCCCCAGTTACAGAAAACATTTGAGAAGTTTCTGTTGATTTTGCATATATAACATTGATTACTTTCATTTCCCTTATGAAAACCAATCACTGTGTAATTGATTGATTTTCCTGAAGCCACATTGAATAACTTGCCTCAGCGTCTGTATTGTACAAAGATAATATTTTTTGTTATTGAGCTGTTCTTACTAACACTACTTTAACTTAATTTGGAATTTCTTGTTTTATTTAGACAAAGGATAATCACTTCTGTCAGTTTAAGGAATTTGACCTCTGGTGATTAAGTGTAGGAAAGTAAAATCAGGAAGGTATTTCACACACACACACACACACACACACACACACACACACACCCCCTTAGGTCTTAGACATCAACTTTAAATGAGTTCTCTTGATGTCTTTCATCTATTCTCTCAATGTCCTTTTTTTACACACCCAATTCCTAATCATATGTTTTTTATAAAGGATAGCATTCGGTAATTTTAAAATGTTACTTAAGATTTAGTAATTTTGTATAGTGATTGCTAAAGTTATTGTTTCAGAAAATAAGTGCAGGTTTGAATATTCTTTGTCCTATATTTGAAAATCTAGTCTAAAATCCTCAACTTGCTCTGTTTCTCATACCCTGAAATAAGACAACTGTGTACACAATTAAATGTGCAAACCAGCACATGAGGAAATTAAAGTTACTGTTTTCTGTGGGCATCCTCATTATGAGCCGTGTATCCAAGGAGACAATGTAATTAACATGCACACCTATTCTGGAGCACTTTTCTCAGGCTTTTATAATTATAGCTGAAAAATCATATAGTGGACACTTTATGGAATAAAATTTTAAATTTTAGAAAGAAAATTTTAAAAAAGATATTTAAGAATCCATGTCTTGGAAGAGAAAAATAGTATTTTAGGACATGTTTCAAATTCTAAACTAAAAATGGACATTGTCAAGAGTGATCTTTTTATTGATTTGAATTATTTCTTAGCTCTCACTTTACAAAGTTGAGAAAATCCATTTTATGTTCCTTATTGGTTCAAAGTGTGTGTTTTTTCATTTAAGTACTAACACAATACCTTATAAATGCTACTAATTCCCACCCCCTGGAGCATTTCCCTTTCTGTATGCTAGAAATGAGACCATCCTGATGATATTAAGAGAAGTCTGACATTTCTAGGAAACATCCTGATTTGAAAATCATCAGCGTCTTATTTCCAATGGGATCCATTAAAGACTATAATTGCACATTACCTTCTAAGTTAGTCAGTCTAAAAATAATAATCAGCTATGGATCTTATCAATGGTGTTTTTTAAAAATAGATACACAATTTCAGAATTCTAATTCAAGAAATACAGCTTCTCCAGGGATCCTTTAGGATCTGTGTTGTTATTGCACATGGCCAGCCTGTCTATGGGCATCTATCAATACCAGATGGTCTGAGAGGTGGGAGCAGAGCACCAGGACCAGGGCCTGTTGGGCACTCTAGCCCACAAAGCAAACAAGAAAGAAGAGGGAGAGAGGAAGAAAGGGAGGGAGGGAGGGGGAAAGACTAAGTTTCACAGATGTCATTGTGGAGCTAAAAAAATAACTTTCCTTCACTTTCTAAGTTCTTCTAGCTGGGCTAATAATCAAATTAACAGAGACATATTCAAAGGAGAAAATATCCAAAGTTTATTATATGAATGCACATTCGATAGTGCCATAAGAACAGAGACCCAAAGTACTGGGCAGCTGAGGTTTATATGCCATTCTAAAGCCAAGGAAAAGGGTGGTTGTGGTTTGGGACTTCAAAGGGCAGGAAGGCAATTCATAGGAAGACAGAAGACAAATGTTTGATAAATAAATGTTTGCTGGGCCATCTTTATCAATGGGATGCAGAGAGAACTTGGAAAAATGGGTTTTGTTAGCTTCCTTTCTGCCTGTCACACAGGAGTTTATGTGAAACTGTAGTTATTTGTGAGGCTGTCTTCCTTCCTGGAGCAGGTCCTCTATCTACATTTGTTTCATCAGTTACAGGGGATGTGAAAGGTTTTCCCTGAGTCCTTTGTTCCTTTATAACCATCTTAAAAACAATGTACCCAGAGGCAAACTTTGGGGTGGCAATCTCTGCTTCCCTTCATCATCCATATGGAAAGATTGAAGGCAGGAAACATACATATGCATATAGTGACTTTGTAATATTATCTCTACACCCTTGAAAGGAAAAGTCAGGAAACTTAGTTTAAAAACTATTATGAAAATTATAATTCTTTGCTTCAATTTTTAATAATTAGTTTAAGTCAGTGTTTGGCTCCTTATTTTCCATTTATTTCAATAAATCTTTGTTAGTACCTAGTATGTGCCAGGCAGTGTAATAAGTGTTGAGAATATAAAGAGGAATAAGACGTGATCTGGGATTAGAAAAGTCTGACTTCTGTGCAAGGAATTATACCTGGTGATTTAGCAGCACAGCCCAGTGAGTGATTAATGGGGTGAAATTTCAATGAATGAGTCCAGAAAAAATATTCAGACCCATGTTTCACTTTCAGACTTTCTCTGAAAGAGCCCCATTACTTCTGAAAGAATAGACATGTTCCTCCAAGTGTCCCACCTCTCTCAAGTAGCTCTCCTAGTTATTTTTGTTGTGATTGATAATAAATGGCTCTTAATTAGATTCACCATTGGTTTGTGCCCAGATGTTTGGCATAGATAAGAGTTTATCTGAAATGTGTATGCATTGGGAAAAAGAATTACTTGATTATCTCCCACCTACTAGTATTGAAATTGGTAACAACACCCTATTGGTTTGTGCCTTAATTGATTCTTTAATAATTGATACTTGGGTACGTATGTAAAATCTTATTCTCATGGTTGGAGACTAAAGGAGTGAAATTATGAGCAAAGTCTACTTCAGAACAGTGCCTCAAGTAATTCCTTTTCAAACTCTAAATAAAACAAATGAAATCAAATGCACTAAGAAAATAACCTGAAGTCTTTGGGATCTTAAAATTGCTTGCTTTCCTTATGTAAATGAAAATCTGAAATAAATAACTTGATTTGTTCACATAAAGGGGTATCTTTCTATGGGTATAGAATGTGTAATGTAATAAACTCTAAATGGTGAGGTAAGCAGCTTAGCTTATCTGATTGGAAAGTATTAAGATATGGGACATTATACAACTTTTGCCTACTTTTTGTTTGCTTATAATATATTTAGAGCAGTCTTTTGGAAAACCTAAGGTGTAGGATATTTATACATACACATATGCATGCTTGCACACACACACACACACACACACACACACACTCACACACAAAAGGCAAATGTCCACATTTTAATATATTAAATTATGAATGTGACATTTTATGTAAAGTTATGAATTTGGATGTTATATGAACTATAGAACTATATTTATATTGCAATACAGATGCCTATTCACTAAAAAAAACAAGGGGACACTTGCATTTGTTTGGCCTCAGTTTAACGGCATGTTATGGGTAGGTGTATGGGAAATCTTGGACACTGGGAACGTGTTCATGTCTTGCCCTTGGAGAAAATATGTAAACCATGCCTAATCCATTGTATGGAGCTCATTAAACAATGTAAAGCAATGGTGACAATTTATGTGACCAGGCTTTTTAGAGAAAAAGCACATTGATTATTGTATTTAAGCTGAGATGGCAAAGGGTGGAGCAGGTATGCTCAGAGATGTTTGATGGAGGGCCCTTTGAAGCTAAAGGATTTGTAAGAACCATATATAGTATATTCCATTTATTAATGTCTACAGATTATGCTTTTTCTTAGAAAAGTTTCTGGAAAAACAAAAGCCTTATGAAAACATCATGGTGTGAGAACAGCTCTGAGATGAGTTTCTGTGGAGAGCAAGGAGCATGAAGATTTTATAAAATAGTTTGGGGAAGATCAAAGTTCATACAAGAGTTTTCATTTGGACTCTGAAGACATAGGGTTTTGAGAAACAAGACAGGCTGTATAGGGATAGCCAGCACACTGGCCTGAGTGGTTCAGTAGCCATGGATTGGATTTTTTTGAGTTTAGCAAGAGGGATGGGGAAAAGTAGTTGGGACTCAGGTCGTTCAATGGTCAGTTGAACATTTTTAGACAGATTTCTCAAAAATATTTAATGTGTTTGTCATAAAAATAATTCCAGTATTCTATAGGATTGTATCTGATGTAAACTATTGTGTACCTGTTTTCTGACTAAGATAGAAATGAAAGGATTGACCTGCCTTCTATGTTAACATTATACATACGTTATATTTGTTCTTTTCACTTACAGGCTGGAGCCAATGTCCTTCTCCAGGATGTTAATGGAAACATACCATTGGATTATGCTGTAGAAGGGACAGAATCAAGCTATGTTCTATTGACCTATCTGGATGAAAAGGGTAGGCTGAGCTTTGAAAAACTGTAGAGAGATAGACAAAGAGATAGGTTGGTGGCATTATAAGTGTACTTATTTTTGGGGTCTTCCTACATGATTTCCTATTGATATGATTTCCCTAGATTGCGTAAAATGAATTATGTTTCTACACTGCAATTCACTTTCCTACTGCAATACATTGTTGGTTTAGTCAATGCAGTTTTGCAAGCCAGCAAAATTCTAGAGGCCAACAATGAAGGAACATTTTAACAAGCATTTAAAATCCATAATTAGAGGGACTGGGCTTGTAATTATAATCTATTCTCCACTGGGAGGAGAAGGGAAGTGAACCAGCACAACTGAATTTTGAGTTAATGAGAGTGAGGTCATGTGAAGTGTATTCTCTTAGGAGCCACGGTCCTCTTAAGAATTATTACTGTGGGTAAGTCAGGGCATACGTCAAGGGCAGTTTGCACGGGCATCTCAGCATCCACTCTTGGTGACACTTGGTAACAGAAACATTATCAGAAGAATGCCCATGATCATGGTGCTGGCCTGCAAAGATGCAGCTGAGGGCCCAGATATATTCAATGACAAAGAACAGTTAATTGCACAGACCCAGGGTATAATTTCATGAGTAAGTTCAACATTGGCAAAGTGAGAGGTGTTTGAAATCTTGAGCTTGATATGGTATTAAAATAAAGAAATATGTCCCCTCTTTTATTTTTCTCCTTTATGATGTTTAGGAAAAAATAAAAACAATTAAATTATACTCCCTTCCAATATGGTGTTTTGTCAGAGAAAAGGTTTAAAAATTTTAAGAGCCTCATCATGCTTGCGACTCTATTCTCACCTCTAAGAAAAGCCCACACACCTGCCTCTTTGTTTCCTGTGCTCTTTGCCTCCTCCAGATCGCTTGTATCAGAGGGTTTATTGTGAGGATGGCTTAGGATAATAATAATAATTAGGACTCAGCAGCCATGAGTTCTTCAAAAACAGTCTCATTAATTCTGAGAGCAAGGTAAGAGCTGCTATTTTCATTCCAGTGAATGTGAGCCTAGCTGTGCTGCTGAAGGTCACTGAGTCATGGCCTGGGTGACAGAGCAGCATGGGTGCAGGCCCTGTGGTATAGTCAGTCCTTCACACTACATCTCCCTCAGTCCTTGTACCTACCTGCTCCTACCTGAGGAAAACCCGGCGTTGTTCCCACCTTGTTAACTATGACTTAGAGACTAATTACTTCTAAATGGAATGAGCTGAAAGTTATGGGCATTCCATGTTGGGAAGCTTTATTATTTGCACATCTGCAAAGTTTGACCTTTGGTCACATGATTCTGAACTGACATGAACCTGACTGTCTTTTATTTAGCTGTGCCTGCTCTTCTTCATGTTTTCCTGCTCTTCTTCCTGTTCTTAATTTTTAACAGCCATCATGATAAATGTTTTTCTCTGGAAACTAAAGTTAACTATCTTTATTTACAAAAGAATTAACATCCAATATAATAAAGAGCTAATATGCTAATTAGACCAAACAGCCCTTCCTGACAACCCTCTGGACAACCTTCCAGACAAAGCCGGGGCTGCGAGGGCCAAGGCAGCAACTGCTGCTGCGAGGGCCGAGCCCTTTGCACGAATTTTGTGCACCGGGCCTCTAGTTACTTATAAATCTCTTCAACTCATTAAAGGTTTTTGTCTCATAAAAAGTTTTAGTATTTGCAAAAGCAGTATTATCTATTCTGTAGAAATAAAAAGAAGTGCATTCCTTTGAGAGGTTACTTTAAAGAGTGATTAAGAAAAAGAAAAAATGAAAGGAAGCTTCTGACTCTGAATGGTCTGGAGAAAATCTGTCACGGTGATGGCTGTCACAGTTAGTTTGTAAAATACATGTTTGCTGGAACAAATTCAATGTAATATCTCTTACATTTTAAACTCTGTTTTCCATTTGTCACCGCCGTGGCACTGGCCTCTGCCTTCCCATCCATCTGCCCCCCTCTCATCTCATTCACAATCTGGTTCCATTTCTGACAGTGTCCCTCCTACTTATCATTTCGGCTGCCACACTTCCTGTAAATACCACCTAATTTGATGTATTCTCCCCTTGTTGGTGCCCCTTTAGAATTATCTGCTGTGACAGCGTGGGCCGATGTCCCTAGAAATTTCTAATATTATGAGATGAGATTTTTATTGTTATTTAGCACCCAGTGTTTCAGCACTGCATTCTTATAACCAGGCACCTGCAATCCTTGAATTTTCAACACGCATTATACAGTTTCAAACCAGAGTACTTATCATGCTGTCACACCAGGTCACATGTGGCAGGAGGCAGTCCAGGTTGTGAGCAAGTTGATTGCATGGAAAACCACTGGTCACAAGTTCTAATTGTACTGTCACCACTGACATACACTATACCTGGGCACAGCAATTAACCTCTGCTCACCGCCTGAGCTGTCCGGGCTGGAAAGTGAGACAGCCACGGAGGGCTGATTGAGCATGTGATGCATATTAGATCTCCAGTGCAAGGCAGACCAGCTGGTGTTCAAGGAAATCAATGGATTATAAAATGAGCCAGCATAGAGAAAGCAGTGCAGGAAGAGCTCAAGGTGGTCCAGGACAGATAGATGCTCACCATGAGGGGAGGGAACACATATATCTCTGTGTATATGTATACATAGATATATATTCAAGTCCCGGAAAAAGAAATAAAAACAACTTTGCTCAACACATATCATTGCACTGTGCCCTTTCTCCTTCATTCCAAATCGATCCTTTTAAAAAAGTAGCCCATTTTTATTCTCCCGAGTTCCTAATCTCTACTTAGCCCACAGTCCCTACCAATCCACTGGGAAGGTCCCTGCCACCATGTGTCACCCTTTTTGGTTCTCTAGCCCAGTGATGGCGAACCTTTTGAGCTCGGCGTGTCAGCATTTTGAAAAACCCTAACTTAACTCTGGTGCCGTGTCACATATAGAAATTTTTTGATATTTGCAACCATAGTAAAACAAAGACTTATATTTTTGATATTTATTTTATATATTTAAATGCCATTTAACAAAGAAAAAGCAACCAAAAAAAAATGAGTTCGCGTGTCACCTCGCGTGTCATAGGTTCGCCATCACTGCTCTAGCCAGTGGTCACTTTTCTGTTCTCTAATACCTCGTCTCTCTGTGACAGCTGATGACCTTGATCACACTCTGTTATGAAAACTCTCTCACCTGCAATGACCTTTCCATAGTTTCCTCATTTCTTCCAGCTTCTACTTAGTTTTCTGTGGATGTGCCACTTGTACATCCAGACACCAAAATATGGGTAGTTCCCAGGGCTCTGTCTTTCAGTATCTTCTTTTTTTCTCTTCAAACTACCCTGGCTTATCTTGCCCTCTTCCTTGTGTTGTTCCCACTTGCCTGTTCCCAAGAATGTTCCTGAAGCTTAGATATCTTTCAAGACCTGCAGGCTTGTATGCACAGTTTTCAGTCTCTTGACTTGGATATCAGAAAATTTGAAATAACTTGTCTACATGGAACTTACCCTTTCATGCACTCTCTATATGTTATATTTTATCATAACAGCCAGGAATCCAAGTATCTGAACATCACTTTTTGTCTCCTAAATCCCTCACATCCAATTATCACCAAATCTGACAGAGTCTGTTTCCTGGACATCTGACCTCTGATATGCCCATATCTCTCACTAAGTTTGCTATTAGTATCTTAGTGAAAACTCTGGACTTTTCTTTTTTTGTTTTTATTTTATTATCATTTTTGTTAATCCTTACCTGAGGATATTTTTTCCCATTGATTTTTAGAGAGAGTGTAAGGGAGGGTGAGAGAGAGAAACATTGTTGTGAGAGAGACGCATTGATTGGTTGCCTCCCACATGCACACCCTGACCAGGGCCAGGGATCGAACCTGAAAACCAAGTACATGCCCTTGACCAGGAATTGAACTTGAGAACATTTGGTGTGAGGGCCCACGCTCTAACCACTGAGAAAAACCAGCCGAGGCAGTCTTTCTGTTTTGGAACAGTCTTGGAAACTGGTCTTCTCACCTCTAGCCATTCCTGTTTATTCTTCAGAGGACTCTCAGATTAATCAGTCCACAAATAACCTTATCTATTTATTCTGCTTATTAAAGTTCATTCAAAATGCTGTCCTTAAACCGACCTCTTCAGAATCACCCAGAGTCAGGGTGACAGTGCATTCCTTTTGCCTAGGACAGTCCTACATTGTGCCTGTAGTCAGGGTGGAGGAAAGGGGCTGGGTAGAGGGTTACAGTGCCCTTTTGGCTTGAACATGTTTATTTATCTTTGCTAGAACCAACTTTCTTTGCCTGCTCAACTCTTTTGCTTCCTACAAGTCTTGGCTCTCTTAGGAAACTTACTATGGAGACACAAATTGGTGTTAGATTCACTTCTAGGAGCTTATTGGAGACTACTGTGCTAAAATCATGAAATGGATCATTTCAGAGTCAGCATAATGGTAAAATTATCTGTAATAGCATCATAGAATACCCCCAATACATAATAGATAATGGAGTAAGTAAAAAGTTGAATTGTTAAAAAGACAATATTACCTGATAAGGGATAGTTAATGAAAGTAAAGGTAGGGTTCCGATTGACTTGATGTGTTAATGTAGTTTCAGTTTTGCAGACAGGCCTCTGACCTCACTGCATGGGATGAACCTTCTGAGACCTAACATTACATAGATATTATCAAATGTATTCAAGTGATAGTAATCACTATCACATGTACATACTGTTAATTAAACTACAGACTTTATTCAAATTCTTTCCATTTTTCCAAGACGTATTTTTTAAATCTATTCCAAGATGGATTGCTTTTAGCAGAAACTATTTTGGCCAGAACAATCATAAGGAGTGAAAACTGTATCTTTATACTTTCTTGTAATTTAATTTAGGTACTTTAAAATACTCTTGGCAGTGTGTGTTGATTTATATTAAAGCCGATATCCATTATGAACCTGCCATATGTAAGGTATCGTATCATGAATTTGGGATATAATAAGAGGGAAATTATTCAACACCACCCTCTAGCTGGAAATAGAATGCTTGCAAGAGAAATAATTACATATAGCACTTTGAGTGAGAATTCAAAGTGAAGAGGGGCTTCAAAGACGAACACGTTGGACGAATATAAGATGAAACTATTTTCACTCCAGCATCTGAGAAGCAACTCTACGTTCTGTTTGAAAGGCTCTTTTCCCCCTAGGGGTGGATCTGACCTCCCTGCGCCAGATGAAGCTTCAGAGACCCATGAGTATGTTAACCGATGTCAAACACTTCTTATCATGTGGAGGGAATGTTAACGAGAAAAATGATGAAGGAGTAACACTGGTAAGTTAATATACTTGACTCAGAAATATTGCTTAAGTGGAGAATTTAAGTTTATTCTTAAGACATAGAAATGACTATGATTAAATAATGTATTTTTGATTACAAAAGTAATATATATTCATTGTAGAAATTTTAGAAAGCACATAAATATTCAAAGGAAAATGCAAATCACTTATGTCACCACCCAGAGAAAACTGATGTTTATATATATGTTGATATATTTTCTTCCAAGCTTCCTTCTTATGCATGCTTACCCTACAAATTTAGATTTTTTTTGCATTTATTTGTCAATGTGATTTCAGAGATGGAACTTACAGGATAATGTTTTTATTTTAATTTTAAGCAAAACAAACGATGGCTTAGTCTGGTGAATAAATTTCTAAATTCAAGGAAACATTGCTTTTTATTGATATAAGGCATAGCTGCAGTAAGTTAAAAACAGAACAATTAAATTTGGATTGATATTTATATAAGTATAAGTTCAGTGATCAAAATATGAACATTTGGCCCTATTGACCCGTAAAATTTACCTGGAGTGGGCATGCAGGGGTTAAAATTAATTATGATGGAAATATATGCATTAAAGCTCAGAAAAAATAAGGAAGTAAACTAGGACAGCAGAAAAGAGTATGAAGCTCTGAAACATGGGACGTACAGAAGGGGTTGGAGCCAATGATTTTCTACCATGGAAAAAGTATGGTGTGAGGTTGAACACAGGCGATTTCAAGCTGAACACTGTTAAGTGCAATGACCCTGAGGCAGGACCAGGTGTGGTGTGATTGATACACAACAAGGTGGTAAGTTTGGCTTAGCAGAGAAAAGGAGTGAAGAGAAGTAACCAGGGTCAGATCACACATATTGTGGGCCTATGTGAAGACAGTGGCAGTTACTCTGAGTGAGATGGGGACACATTGGAGAGTTCTGAAGAGAGGCAGAGTGCGATTTTACTTCAGTTCTGAAAAGATCACTCACTGAGTGCTGTGTTAAGGATGGACTGTATACTGGCAAGGGTGAAGCTGAGAGTTCAATTAGGAGCCCTTTCCAGTGATTTAGGAAAGCAATGGTGTGGCTCAGCCAAAGGTAGTAGAAGTTGAGGTGATGAGAAGTAGCTAATTTCAGTCAATATTAAAAGAAGTTCCATACATTTCCTGATGGAAATGTGGTGTGAGAGAAAGAAAAGACTTCAAAATGACTCCAAGTATTTTTTGCTTGAACAACTTGAGTGATGAAGTTGGCATCGAATGAGATAGAGAAGGCTGAAGATGGAGCTTAGAGCAGGAAAGATCAGAATCAGTTCTGGAAATATAAAGTTAGAAGTGCCTCTTAGCCATCTTCATGGAGATGTTGAGTTTGGGGTTGGATATTGCAGTCTGAGAGTCATGGAATGTCTGGACTAAAGAAACAATTTGGGGAACATTAGCATATATGTGATCTTGAGAACTCCTGACCCGGATGAAATCATGAATTGATATTGCAGGAAAGAGGATTTGGGACTATGCCTTGGGGCTTAGGCAAAAGAGGAAGATCCAGAAATGAGATGAGAAAGAACACCTCCCAAAGTAGGAGGGAAACCAAGAGAATGAGGTGTCCTGGGAACCAAGTGAAGAAATTAGGATGAAAACGAGGATAAGATAGACTATTAAATACTGCTGAAAGGGTCAAGTAAATGGAGATGACAAATTGGCTATTGGACTTGGTAACATGGAGGTCATTGGTCTTCTCATCTAGGGTAGTTTCAGTGCAGTGGTTGGGTCAAAATCCAGTTTACAGTGGGCTATTTAATTAATAGTTCAATTAACACATGCAATACACTAATGCCTAACACATTGTAGAAACCCAATAGAGACTTTGTTTCTTTGTTTGACAGAGATATTACAACTTTACATATATTTTGAAAAATCATTGTTAAATGACACTAATGTATTATGCTTCAAACACTGTTGAATAAAAGGACCTGCCATTAAGTAGGAAAGCTATTGAAATAATCAATATAGAGTAATAGATCACTCTCATTTTAAACCATCTTCAATTTTGACATTCCCATAAATGTTGCTAATAATTTTTCTGTAATAACAATCTTCTGGTGATCATCTTTGAGCTTTTTACAATGAAAATAGCAATGAATGGAAAGCTAGACAGTTGTCCCTTGGAGACCAGAGTATTTAGCAAGTGACAGTTACATTTGATTCTTAGGTCTAAATTGTTTAGTCTGTTATGTTAATGACTGTCATCGCTGGAGTTGCCTTTCTGTAAGGCACATGTATTTTGTGCTTTCCTGTCTATTGTTGGTGATAACATAAGACACTTTTGTCCTTAGACTGATTTCTATATCCTGAGTTGGAGTGTCAATTGTGGTTCAAAATTAGGTATAATTTTCCACACTGTTAAATTGCTGTGCAAAAAGCGATGCAATTATCAACAAAAGGCTCAATGGAATAAACTTCTAGTAAGATGGGTTTGATGTTGTCTTTTCTTCCTTTTTTTAGGATACACACTAAAATAACCAAATATATTACAGCTCTTTTAAAAAGATTTCTTAGTTTACATTAATATTCTTCTGAAAAGAAAACAGAAGCCTTAGAAAAGAACACAGTCCAAAAAAGCCATGTTATAGAGCATATGAAAATTAGTTCCTGAGTTTAAATGTATATATGCTCTTGGAAAATACTACTGTAATAATTAGCATATATACCACAAAGATCTTGGCTGGTTCTTCACTGTTTTATTATAGAATTTGATATATTACATCTGGCCTTGATACATATGCACTGTTGGAAAACAATTATTCATGAGATATAAATACCAAGCAATCTTGTTTTTGTTTCTCTTTGTGATATCAGGAGTGTTGGTTCATCCCGTACTTCTAGACGAGGACAATAAATAGCCAATGCATGATTTTTCTGGTCATTTTTAGGGAACACAGTTTTTATGGTTACTTTATGTCACAAAACATAGCCTCAATTTAGAGATTAGATTGTCCAGACCCATGTAATATTTAAAACTCACAACTTGAATAAAGTCCAGGCTCATTGATCTTTTTAATGCCATACTCACCTTTAATCATATGGTGTAGCTCATGAGTCCCTTGCCAATGTAATAGTTTTATGCAATACAAAATGGTGCATAGAATTACATAGAAAGCCAATTATGTTGAAATATAGTAATCATAATATTGAAATTAAATTTGTTATATGTAATGTTTATGATTCTTTATTAATTAATACACTAAGTAACAGATCTAATGATTACCATGATTTTACAGTAGAGTTGGACATGGGTGATATTTGGAGATATTTGCTATAATATTAATGTGATATGAAAGTATAATTTCTTCTGCTAATTTTCCCTTCTTAATTGTTTTAACTGTAAAATAAATCATGTAGTTACTTAATAACCTAATTGAAATTGGGTTGGATGACAGTTTACTTAGAAAGAAAGGCTATGCCTTAGAAACAGGAATCACCACATCTGAAAAATTTGAAAGGTTCTCCAAACCCTGAGCTCATCACTGTAGATCCTGAGGCCTCATTTCTGAACTTCAGGTTGCATTGAGAAACCAAGCTGGGAGAATGTCAAAATGGTAGCTGCACAATCATTTTAAAGCTTGTCAGGATTCATTCATCTTCTCCAGTTCCTGTCCCTTTTATGTGTATAAAAGCATCACAGGATCACATTTTCTGTTGTCATTTGTATCTTTCAATCTCTTTCCTAAAACACCAAATGCAGTGCTAGAACTTTAGAGCTAGTCAGTACATGTGTGACTTCTGGACAAGTAGTGATAAAGTATTGAATTATTATATTTCGTATTTAAAAGTATTCATATTATAGTAGAAAGGCACATTAGAGAGGAAAATAGGAATTAGATGAAAAACTGTACCTTATCAGAGTCAGAAGGAAAACAATACATAATTAACCCATAAGCCTTTTTCAAACAATGATGACATTCACTTGTACCAAATAAATCAAAGTATATGTTTCTTTTATTAAGGTCTCTGTATTTTAGGTTTAATACTTTATTAAATTGCTCTCTTTAAACCACTGAATAAATTATGATGTTGCTGCTTTTTATTTTATTTTTTTTATTTATTTTTTTAAAATATATTTTATTGATTGCGCCAGTGGCTACAAGGAGGTAGTGTCTCTCCTCTTGGAACATGGGGGAGACCTCAATGCAGTGGATAATCAGTACTGGACCCCACTTCACTTGGCAGCAAAGTATGGCCAGGTAAGTGAGTTCCTGAGCTATTTTATAAATTATTTTATAATCAATGCATCCTTTTATATTAATTTTATTTCAAATTATGTACTAATCATTATGTAATATGACTTTTAATGGTATGGTCTTACTAAACAAATGTTTTATGAATAAAAAAAAACAAAAACATTTACTTTTAAAAGGACAAATAATAACATATATTCCTTAGGATTTGGCATACTAGCATACTGCATATTCTACTCAAAATCATTCAAGAAATGATCAAAAACATAAATATCCTTTATAATATAGACAACACAGTTTTCTTAATATTATATAGTTCTTATAAGTTTACTGTTTCATGAGACTGTAATAATTCTGTTTGTTTTCTACAATTAGTAGATGTAGAGTAAAATTACATTTTGTATTTTATTTTTCTCCATAAATTATATTTCATTTTAATGAATGAGGGATGGGTAGCAATTCTTTCTCTGAATTGACTTTTTGCTATAGCTAATACATCTGAAGACACTAATGCACAAATTAATGGTTACCAGGCACCCTTATATCCTGAAGAAGGAGCAAAATCACAGTCAGGTAAAATGTGTCTTGGAGAGAGAGAGACATGTGTGTATCCATGACAAAAGATAAAGGAAAATATTAAACTAATAAAACAGGTTAGCTACATAGTAAAAATACTTTCAACTGGTTTTAGTGATGAAAGTAGATTTTTAAAAATGTTATTTTACTCTGTTATGTTTAACCATAAAAACATCATTAATGATTAATATATATGCCAGATGTGATACCTGCCAAGCCTCAGTGATATAAGGAACTTAAGCCGAGTTCACTTGCTACTTCCTTCTTAAAGCTTCCTGAAGTTTCCTGCCACACAAAAGTCACAAGATAGAAGAATCAGTGATTAAACAGGCAGAGAGAATTAGTGGATATCAGTACTCTCATCCCATTTACCTATCACATTAGAAAAACTTCCAAACTTTGGGTTTTCTCTTATTTTTCAACTAGAGGCCCGATGCATGAAATTCATGCAAGAGTAGGCCTTCCTTCCCCCGGCTGCTGGCACTGGCTTCCCTCTGGCACCCAGGACTTGGGTCTCCCTCTGGAACCCGGGACTTGGGCTTCCCTCCTACCACTGGCAGGCACTCGGGACCCATGCTTTCCTAGCAGCCCTGGCTTTGTCCGGAAGGTCGTCCGGAAGGACATCCGGTCTAATTAGCATATTAAGCTTTTATTATTATAGATTACAGTTTACATTCAATAATATTTCGTATTAGTTTCAGTGTACAGCACAGTGGTTAGACAGTTATATCCTTTACAAAATGTTTCCCCTGATATTTCCCGTACCCAACAGGCACCATACATAGTTATTACAGTACTATTGACTATATTTCCTATGCTGTATCTTACATCCACGTGACTATTTTATCGTCCCAATCTATCCTCCCAATCCCTTCACCTCTTTCACCCAGCTCCCAACTCCCCTCTCATCTGGGAATCAGATGTCTGTGTCTATGAGTCTGTTTCTGTTTTGTTTGTTCATTTATATTGTTCTTTAAATTTTACATATAAGTGAAATCATATGGTATTTATCTTTCTCTGACTGAGTTATTTAAATTTATTTTACGGAGCATAATACCCTCTCTAGGTCCATCTATGCATTCACAAATAGTTAAGATTTTCTCTGAAGTTTGGGGTTTCTAAATCTATGTTTTCAGCCTATAGAAATTTTTTGATATTTGCAACCATAGTAAAACAAAGACTTACATTTTTGATATTTATTTTATATATTTAAATGCCATTTAACAAAGAAAAATCAACCAAAAAATGAGTTCGCATGTCATCTCTGACACGCGTGTCATAGGTTTGCCATCACTGCTCTAGGTCCATCTATGCATTCACAAATGGTTAAGATTTTCTCTGAAGTTTGGGGTTTCTAAATCTATGTTTTCAGCCTAGAGAAACATGGTATTGAAATTACATGGAAAATACGATTCAAAAGGTGCATTTGCTTTGGGAGATGCAGAGTAATTAAGATTGATGTTCTTATTACTACTTCTCCAGTGTGCCAGCTACATTTCCAACACTCGTCATTTATTAACATTAAGTGACTTAAGAAACTTTCCAATGGCTTTATTTTTTTTAACCCAGCTGCAAAATATTTTTCCCCAACTTTTAGAAACCATTATTCCTCACTTTTTTTTAGGTCTCCTATACTTCTATGTTCCAGACTCTCCCCACCACACAAACACACCTATATTTTAATCTGCCCAATGAAATGATTAAGCCAGCTTGTTTGGAGAGCTTCCATAGCCCCCTCATTGGCTCTGAGTACCAGCCACCACTCGCTGGCTGTGTGAACCTAATAAGCCTTAATAGTCCTTCTTCCACAGAGCCCCAGGTCTTCAATTAGTGACAACCATCAACACATCTGTTTACAGGGGAATTGTTACATAGCTCAGAAGACTGTTGAGAATAAAGAAGGCAAATGCATCACCGAAGTATCAAAGAGCATATGTCCTAGTCAATTGATCCAGCTGCTAGATTTGTACAGAGAGATGCTGAACATAATGTTTTCTAGCAATGGCCATTTACAGTGTGCAAATGAGTCATATTTTTAAAACAATTTCACCTTTATCCTCTGCTTCTGTAGAAAATGAGTAGCCATTAATTCTGTATTTTATAAATCCTTATATATTTTAGTACAAAGGTTAGGATCTGAAGATTATATATGTCTTTTCAGTTTTGCTCCATTAAACCTACTAGGATGGGTTCTTCACCAGAATGTAAGCTCCAGAACAGCAGAGATGTGATTCATGTGGCCCACTGAGCCACCCTGTAGCCAGCAGAGTAACTGAAGGAATTAAATGGACAACTCAATCAACCAGGAACTAAAAGCGAAGTTCTGCTGAGAGTTAGAGTGAGGATTTAACATTAGGATATATGACACCAGAACAAAAATATTCTTCCTCAATTCAAACTAAAATGAAGGAATAACTAAGAGATTTATGTTAATAAAACATTTTGAGTAAATTGTATATTTTTGTCAAGAATATACCATATGATATCAAGAATTATTTAAAAAATTCTATACACTACCACTTAATATTCATTTTGGAAATGATATTTTAGGAACAGGTTTTATTTGAATTATCAATTTGTATGCATGGGAGATTTGTAACTCTCCAAAGACATTTAGTATAAATAAATGCATCTCACTGAGAAAAAAATGTGATAAATGTTAACATTTTAGAAAGACTCAAGGCATTTTTAGAGTCATTCACAGCAATTTCAGTTTTTTATAAATATATTATAAATATGAATACCTTTATGGAGAAGGTAGTTTATAATTTATAACAGTATTTATAGTATTTATTACTGTCATTTATACTTAGATGGCATATATATTTTAAAACTTCCCTTTGTACATAAACTTTTTCATTGAGAACAAAGAAATACCTGTTCTCTAAAACTGAGAACTGAACAAGTTATGTGAACAACAGTTCTTTCAAGAGTTGTACAGAAGATAAAATTTGATTCTAGCCTTGTACATATTTTAGTATTGTTAATAGCATTGGAAATAGTACAGTAAAAGATAAGAAAGTAATTGTGAAATGATGAAATCTAAATCTCTTCAAAAGTACTTTATATCACACAACTCTTATATCTTAATGTTCAAAGGAGTCATTTGTATTCTCAAATACATTTTTACCTAAGTACGTAAGAATTGAGATATATTTAGATTTTTTTCTTCAGATATTTCTTCTTTGCTTTGGAAAAAAACAACACTGTCTGGATTTCCTCCTGCCCCTCTGAGCACACAGTATTGAAAAGCTCAGTGTTCTGTCCTAGGTTCTCTCCCTTCCCAATATTTATGTCTTTAGAAGTCTTCCTCCTACAGCTTCAAAGACTCTGCATGTTCATGTCTCCCAAAGCCTCCTCTCCTCTCATTTCTCTCCCAAGTTCCAGACTCGAGGACCACTGCCCAGAGAGTAATTCCTGTCAATCTGCCTTCAAACTCAACTAGTGTACAAAGAGAATGATCATCTTCTTTTTCCCATTTCCAATCTGTTGCCTTCTTTTCTATTTCATCATTTACTGGGCATTATTCTTTTCTTATTTTTCCTCTCCTCACCCATACCTATTAAACCACTGAGCCCCCAAACTCATACCTAGTAAATGGATTTGAGCTATAATCATGTGTGTCCTTGCTGCCGTCACCCTCATCCAGTGCTTCAGCATCTCTACATCAGGATTATCCTGCCAACCTCCTAACAGAGCTCCCTGCCCCTCCCCCACGCCATTCTAAGTACAAAAATAATCAAACTATTTCAACTCAGCATCCTTTCCGTTGCTGTTGATATGAAATGCCCATGCCATAAAATAATTTATGAGCCCTGTGTGCCTGGGCTTCTGCTTAACTCTCCAGCTCTAGTTCTCCTGCCTTCTCCCACCAGGTTAGAGGATGAAGCCATAGTGAACTTCTTTCAGATTCTGTATTATGCCATCATGCACATCCTTTACATGTTCTTTGCTGTTCTTGAAAATCTTAAATGGTCAAATCTGACCTAACTTTGCAGGACTACACTGTGATGTTATGCTAATGCATTCTCATTTCTCCAACCTTATGTGCCCCTTGAGGCCATGAATGTGTATTATTTACTGATGAATCTTCAGTATCCAGCATGATGTTTCCCATTTCAATCATCTCTAATGTTTCAGACAAACCTGGTGAAACTTCTTTTGATGCATCAGGCAAATCCAAACCTTCTGAACTGCAATGAAGAGAAGGCCTCAGGTAGGTTATGAGCGTCCTGGGACCACTGAGCAGTCACTGTTTCCTTCCTGTCGTATGTAAGTTGTTCATCATGAGCGTAGCTAGGAAATGAGAGTCAGCCTCTCTGAGAAGCTCTGTGAAAACCAGCCCAGTTTAATATGATTCACGATTCAGATGCCCTGATCCAGGACAAGGGGACATTAGAGAGCAGTTACGTTAATGGGTTACTGCGTCCTTCCTTTACAACTTGCTTTTCAGGCTTAAACTTCCAGGGCGGTGATTCCTGCAGTGTCATTACTTTAAAAGATTTTTTTTGCTTTTGTGTTAACTAGTTTCTCATCAGACCTAATACATGCTTGTTCATTAGGATATATTTAAATAGTAACACAACAGTATTTTTTTCTGCACAGATGTTTATACTGCTAGAAATAGAGACTAATATGCTAAAGATAATTTAAAAGTTTAAAAAACTTAATGTTACTTATTTTTAAAAAATATATTTTTGAAAATTTCTAAAGTTGTAAAATAGTATTTTTTGATTTTTTTTAGAGAGAGAGAGGAAAGAAGAGAAAGAGGAAGGGAGGGAGAGAAAGAGAAGGAGAGAGAAACATTGATTTGTTTTCCCACTTATTTATGCATTCACTGGTTGATTCTTATATGTGCCCTGACCAGGAATTGACCCTGCAACCTTGGCATATCGGGATGACACTAACCAATTGAGCTACCCAGCCAGAGCTACAGTTCTTTTTACTAGTGTTCTTTTATATGTTCATATATGTAGTTTAAAAATTGATGTAACATTCATTTTTTAGCTTTTAGAAAATTTGACAACAATGCTACTACTCATAAATTACTTTGGTATATTAAAAAAAGAATTCTATCCTGACCAGTGTGGCTCATTTGTTGAGTGTCCACCCATGAACCAGGAAGTCACAGTTCAATTCCCAGTTAGGGCACGTGCCCAGGTTTTGGGTTGAATTCCCAGTAGGGGGCATGCAGGAGGCAGCCAGTTGATGATACTCTCTCATCATTTTTGTTTTTATCTCTGTCTCTCTCTTTCCCTCTCTCTGAAATCAATAAAAACATATTTTAAAAAATAATTCTAAGCAACAAAGAGAAAAGTCTAGTAGAAGGAACAAAATAATATAAAAATTTTGATGGTAGAAATTGATCCGAATAACTTATATTTACTTATTCTTGTTGCTATAACTACTAGCCTCAAATTTCTTATTGGATATACTTATAAGAGGGAGTATGATTAATTGATAAACATCTAGTTTAAGGCAAAATGAGGGATTTTCTCAATTTCTTACATTATTGGAATTAAGTATTATTATTGAGTGTTTTTTCATCTTTGCTAAAATAAACCGATGATTTAACAAACAGAACTATGATAGCTTGACAGTCTCAAATGTTACAACAGGCTAATATTAATGATAGTGTAGTAATTTTAACATGAACAACAAAAAAGTATGTCTAATAAATATGAATTAATAGTTTTCTTCTATTTTTTAATAAATATATTTATTTTGAAATATATCACACCTTCTGTTAACTCTAGTCTAGTTCTAACAGATCACAATTTCAAGTTCATATCCTTAGCTTCTTGCCCAGAGAAAGGAATAAATATGATTGACCCTTGACAGCATAGTCTTCCATCTGTCACACTTTTACCTTTTAGGTTTAGTGTCAACTGTGCCAAACAGACATCCAAGGTAATGGACAGTTCTGGAGCCCCAGGGAATGACTAAATTCCTGGTCTACACTCAGCCTGACCACCTCCGGCATAGTGTGTGGTGACTCAGACAGTTTTGTCCCTGTTGGTCATGCCATGTCTACCATCAATGTAACCCCTTTTCTATGCCATGTTGGTCATGAGAGACACAATGATGTGATCATAGTAGACCCTCAATAAACATTTATTGATTGAATGAAAATATTTCTCTCACACACAAGGGACAAAGACCAATAATGCAGTGAGAGGTTAAGAGTAAATGCAGGATATCCCAGCATCTTATCCAAGAACAAGAAGAATGAACCAGATAAAACAATAGTGCAGAGAGAAGTGAACTTGACACATATTTTGACTGAGCAAATGAAAATTATCACAGTGCCATATTAGGTTCTTGCTGTTTTGTGTTTCTTAAACTTGGAATGGACACATAAAAATTATGTGGGGAAATAAAAGCAATTTGGGGCATAGCTGTAAGGTGAGGCAGAAATAATCTCCCTAGGTAAAGAAGCTGAGCAGCCTCCTACTCATTATGTGATTATGATTTAACCTAAAGTAAATGATGATAAAATCCTGGCATAAGTACCTTCCTGTGGTAGGTGAATTACTGCTTCCAGCCCATAAAACCACATAAGTCAAGTTTATAGACAAAGATGGTCATGCAGTTTAGTTACGAGGGTTGAAAGGAGCAGATGACTCCATTAGGTTCCTGGTTGTTATTAATGTGAATTTTTCTCAGGATTTATTGATTTCCAGTATAATTTGTTAATAAGTATAAGTTGATTAATTCTCATCTTTATTGCTGTCCAGATATGTTCAGATGTCACTGTTAATGTGTAATTTATAAGGAACTATAGTAATTCATATTTCAGATAGAGAGGCTAGACACACTATTTTAATACATAGCTATTTATTTGTACATCTACTCATTTAGTAAAATGTTTTAGAATGCTTCCTACATGTATTATAATAGCCCAGTCATTCTGAATGTATAATATTTTTTATCATTTTGCTTCATATTCACCAAGATGAAGGAAGAGTTTCCTGACAATAAAATGACATTAAGTTCTCTCAAGCTCAGCTTCTCAATGATTTACATTTTACACATCTCCTCTTGGTGAAATTATTTTTATATATGTTTCATTTCAGTTATAATTAAATATGTTACTAAAGTGAAAAAGACAGTATTTTTAAATGGCAGCACTGCAATTTTGTTCCTGGCATAAACTTTTAATGTTTTTATTTTTGTTACATGTGCTGATAAATTTTAGCATTTTCAGAACTATTGAAAGTAAATAGTTTTCTGTGGTTTCACCATCCACTTTTTCTGATTTTCTTATTGGTTCGTGTAGATATCGCTGCATCTGAGTTTATTGAGGAAATGCTGCTGAAAGCCGAAATTGCCTGGGAAGAAAAAATGGAAGAGCCTTTATCTGCGCCTACCTTAGCACAAGAGGAACCCTATGAAGAGATCCTTCATGACCTGCCAGCTCTTCCCAGTAAGCTGTAAGTGCCTTCTTTATACAGGAGAAAGCTGTAGACCTGGTTCTCTGCTGACTTAATTGTCCTCATTTGTCTTCCCCGCTAATCACCAGTCATTCATTCTAAAGTAAATATTAAGCCTATCTCTCAACTGAAAGCTAGAAAATTGAAGCTACATGCTAATATATTTATCAAAAGATACATGGTGACAATCACGAGTTTAGCCTACTCTTATGAATATGCTCTGATTTTGTAAAACATCACTATTTCAGTAATTAGATATATTTGTCACCATGAGATCAGAGATAATATTTTAAACATACTCCATGTGTATGTGTTTTTTTTAGCTAAACGGGTATGTAAGGTTTCCAATGACTATCATAATGGCTAGATTTCCTAAGGTAGGAAGTATAAATATTCATTTTTTTCTCTCTAAAGTATAAAACCAATGATTTTTTTGTTGTCTAAAATATCTCCTAAATACTAACACATGCTGCAAGGGGGATATACCTTAAAAACATCATGCTAAATGGACAAAGTGAGAAACAAAAGTCCATATATGATATGATTCCATTGATATGAAATGTCCAGAATTATCAAATCCATGCAAACAGAAAGCATATGAGTGTTTTCCAGGAGTGGGCAGAAGGGGTAAAGAGGAGTATCTCTGAATGGATGTGAGTCTTTGGAAATGATGGAAATGTTCTGGAAGTAGGTGGTTACACAAACCTGTGAATATAAAAAGCAGAGAAGTGTACACTTTAAAAGCATGTATTTTGTGCTCTGTGAATTATATCTCAACAAAAGAAATAAACACATAAAGCAAAAAAGAAAATATAATTCAGGTTGAAAGCAAAATCTGCTGTGTACAACCAGTGAGACCTTCAGGAAGTTGCTTCCTTGTATAAACAAGTTTCTTTTCTGCCAGTGGTGATTATGTCTAATATGTATTTGGGACATTCGAGGGGACTTTGAATAAATAGCACTATCTACTTTCTGGACAATTGGAGAAATAATCAAAGAGAAAAAAAGAGTCCAAATCACACCTGCTCCATGATAGAGGGTATATGGGAGGACATAGCTAAATGTGGCAGCTGAAAGGGTTTGTGAGTGTATTCCATTGTTGGGCAGCTCTACCAACTAGGCACTTAGAAACCAGAGCAGGCCTCCCAAGGGAGGGGCTCCCAGACCAGGTAACAGTGCGGAGGAGGAGGAAGAGCTGTGCTCTCTGCAGGAAGGCTTGCTGCAAGAAGAAGGAGACAGGGGCTGAGGAGCCACTCTTCCCAGATTCAGACAATTCATTCCACTTCATAAATGTAGTGGGAGGCCCAGAATTTGAAAAGATGCTGCCTACAGACATGCCCCCAAGGCCGTTATAATGAATACGTGAGCTCAAAGAGGAAAAATGAATGCATGAGCTCAAAGAGGAAAACTCTTATTTCAGAGCCTGTTCCATCTTGCTGGCATTCAAAAACACTTTTAATTTAAAATTAATCTAGATAATTCAGAGGCTAAAGCCATATGTAAATACACTGACCTCTACTTAATACTAAGGTATATTCATTATTGGATTGGATTGTTGTTTTTTTGATCCTCACCTGAGGATTTTTTTTATTGACTTGAGATATAGAGAAAAACATCTATGTGAGGGAGAAACATCAATCAGTTGCCTCCAGTACATGCACCAACCAGGGTTCAAACCTCAACCTAGGTATGTGCCCTGATTGGAAATGGAACCCACAACCAACTGATGCTTCAACCAGGGGAGCCACCCTACCAGGGCTGGATTGTATTTTTTTAACTTTGTTGTAAATTTTTGTGTCAGACCCTATGCTAAGAACCTTCATGGGTTATCTTATTCCATATTCTAAGCCTTATTTTGTGTAATAAATCATGAATTAGCTAGAATAAGAACATCACTTCTACTGTGTCCACCATTATTAGTAAATGTCTTTCTTTGTTTTAATATATAATCAATAGGATATTCCTACATTATTGGATTATCCCATATTTCATGTATCTAATCTCTCTTCTATCCAGTGAACATTATTATGATCTTTACTTGTTGCCTGATTTTCAAGTTCATGTCTCAAATGTGCAGGTTAGATTTAACTCCAAAGATCCTTTCAAGTATAATATTCCCAATCTGGTCTCTATTTGTAAAGCTTGTAGGTTTCCTCTCTCTGCTTTAAATTTACAACTGTTCTCATATTTGACTGCTGTTCCCTACTGCATTCTTTCTTTCCTGCTGACTGGGTGCCTCCTCACTGTGCTGTCTTTTCTGTCCTTAGATATATATATTTTAGTGCCTAAATACTGTTAGTGCTGCTACGGAACCAGCTGCTGCTGAATATGCCGTTTGGTATTTGAACATGGAAATGTTCTCCTAGGGTTTTTAATTACGGGGGAGTTCTGATATGTGCTAACTTTTGTTTCTAATTGTCTATTTCATGGAGTTCTTGAGTTGGAAGTCACAAAAATTCTGCACAATGCCTAAATAGAGTAATTTACTAAACAATTGTGGGTTTTCACTCATTAATATTAACAGTAATGATGATTTATAATAACAACAAGAGCTCTTTGTTGTGCAGTTAGAAGGTGTCAGGACTTGTGCAAAGTGGTTTACATGGATAATGCCATTTAACCCTCAACACAATACCTGAAAATACTTGCTATCACTGTCCTTCTTTTTACATCACTGTCTGATACTCAGACTATAGTGACCTGAGTCAACACACACAAATATACCCAACCTTACACTGTTTCTGTGAGAAGGGCCTTTTTTCCCCTTTCTTTATTGATTAAGGTATTACATATGTGTCCTTAACCCCATATTTCCCTTCCCCACCCCATTCATGCCCTAACCCAGCTGTGGGCAAACTACGGCCCGCGGGCCAGATCCGGCCCGTTTGAAATGAATAAAACTAAAAAGAAAAAAGATCGTACCCTTTTATGGAATGATGTTTACTTTGAATTTATATTAGTTCACACAAACACTCCATCCATGCTTTTGTTCCGGCCCTCCGGTACATATGTGTCCTTAACCCCATATTGCCCTCCCCCACCTCATTCATGCCCTAACCCTCTGGTGTCTGTGTCCATTGGTTATGCTTATATGCATGCATACAAGTCCTTTGGTTGATTGCTCCCCCAACCCCTCCCCTCTCCTTCCTTCCCTCTGAGGTTTGAGCATCTGGTCAATGCTTCTCTATCTCTGGATCTGTTTTTGTTCATCAATTTATGTTGTTCTTTATATTCCACAAATGAGTGAGATCATGTGATATTTATCTTTCTCTGACTGACTTATTTCACTTAACATAATGCTCTCCAGCTCTATCCATGCTGTTGCAAATGGTAGGAGATCCTTCCTTTTTACAGCAGCATAGTATTCCATTGTGTAGATGTACCACAGTTTTCTAACCCACTCATCTGTTGATGGGCATTTAGGCTGTTTCCAAATCTTAGCTATGGTGAATTGTGCTGCTATGAACATAGGGGTGCATATATCCTTTCTGATCGGTGTTTCTAGTTTCTTGGGATATATTTCTAGAAGTGGGATCACTGGGTCAAATGGGAGTTCCATTTTTAGTTTTTTTAGGAAACTCCATACTGTTCTCCACAGTGGCTGCACCAGTCTGCATTCCCACCAGCAGTGCATGAGGGTTCCTTTTTGTCTGCATCCTTGCCAGCACTTGTTTGTTGATTTGTTGATGATAGCCATTTTGACACGTGTGAGATGGTACCTCATTTTTGATGGTACCTCATTGTCGTTTTGATTTGCATCTCTCAGATGATTAGTGACTTTGAGCATGTTTTCCTATGTCTCTTGCCCTTCCTTATGTCCTCTATTTAGGTCCATTGCCAATTTTTTGATTGGGTTGTTTATCTTCCTTTTGTTAAGTTGTATGAGTTCCCTGTAAATGTTGGAGATTAAACCCTTATCAGAGATAACATTGGCAAATATGTTCTCCCATGCAGTGGGCTTTCTTGTTGTTTTGTTGATGGTTTCTTTTGCTGTGAGAAGGACCTTTTTATTTGTGATTCTAAAAGTTCTGATTTGGCTTTAAAGAGGAAATTGTTAACTGAGTTTCACTGTTAAGTCAGTCAGCTTTAGCTGCGACACATTGTCAATTTAGGTTGAATGTTTAATATGCCAACTTCCAAAGACAGTCTGTAATCTGGGAGAGATTGCCCTTACTGGGCTCTGCACTTACTGGTTCTGGGGCTTGGGTAACGTAATGAAACTCTTGGCCACATTTTTCCTCAAGTGTAAAATATGGGTGTTTAGCCAGGCCTTTATCGCTATCTCCTGAGAGGGGAGTCTCTTAATTCCTTAGAATTCTCAAGTGTCTTTGTTATTCAAAAGCCCCTTGGATCATACTTAAATGTCTGCTAACATAGATTCTCTTAGATCATACCTACATTTATGACTCAAGGAGGGGGGTGGTCATACCAGAAAATCCAATGATGTGATTAAAAGATGGGGGCATTGAGCCAGTCTGACCACCAGAAGGGTAGAAAGACTGGAGACTGAGTTCAAACACATGGCCAATGATAGAGTCAGTCATGCCTACATAATGAAACCCCAATGAAAACTCTGACAACAAGCTTGATGGACTTCTTGGTTGGTGGACAGATCAATATTCTGGGAGGGTGATGTGCCTTGACTCCATCGGGGGAGGACATGAAAGCTCTGCATTCAAGACCCTCCCAGCCTCGCCCTGTGCATCTATTTGTTTGGCTGGTCCTGATTTGTATCCTCCATAACACAGCTGTAATAATAGCAGGTATACTGTTTTCCTGAGTACAGTGAGTTATCTAACCTCAGGGGGATTATAGGAACCTCAAAATTTGTAGCTACTTGGTCCAAGTGTAGGTGGCATAGAGATTCCCAAATGTGTGGCTGGCATCTGAAGTGGTGGCAGCCTTGTTGGAGAAGATGCCCTTACCTTGTGGCGTCTGTGCTAACTCTAGGTGGTCAGCCTCAAATGGTTCTGCAGTACCACAGAGCGGTGATGGTGGTG